GCCACCTGTCCCTGCTGCCCTGTTCTCCTGGAGGGAAGCATAGAAGCCCAGAAATCTCTTGTCTTTTTTCCCTCTCATTCTTTCTTCCCTCCCTCTCTCCTTTCCTTCCTCTTTTTAATCTGAGATTCACTGTGATGCTGGCTTTCCAGCCCCCTAAGCAGATGGCTGGGACAGCCTGTTCTGGTGAGCCGAACGGGAACCCACTTTGTAAAGCTAGGAAGGGGCTGCTTGACCCGGGGGTGAGGGGAGTCACAGGTTCTGACCCCCTGCAGACCATACAAACAACGACCACTTACACACACCACTTGCAAGTGCTCACTGTATGGTCCACCCTAACGAATGTTGGTGTTTTTATACAGTTGATGAATGAATAGGACCATGAGTCACGTTACACAGTTTGCATTGCTTTCAACTCCACTGTACTTTCAAGTCCATTTGACAGTCTTATCACCTGGGGGACAGGGCATCTCCTCCCAAAACAGCTTCACTGAAGCCTAATGCTTTCTACCTGGACAGTGTCTACCTGGCACCTCCCTGGGCTGGTGTGTGAGAGGACCAGCGGGCTTCTAAGGCCCAGAGTTGGTTAACACAAGGTCACTGAGCTCAGCCCGGGAGAGCTGGGAGTCCTGGGAGGGCCCACGGAAGCCAGGCCTGGGAAGTCTGATCTGGCAGTGCCTGTAATTTGGCAGACTGCCTAATCCGGCTCGCGTAGTATTGCTAGAAGCGGGCCGTGTGAGGGGTGCCCTCCAGGTGTGTGTGGGCACAGGCAGGCTTCACTGGATCAGGTAGAGGGGAACACCAGGCCCTGATGCTTAAGAGAGCACCCCAGCTGTGGCTCAGTCCCCATCCAGAACATTCACTGAGCACCTCTTGGACTTGGTCTTGGTGTAGAACAAGGTCAGTGGCCCAGGTCCTGGCTGGTGGACAGCCTGATTGCCTAGCATGAACAGTGGGCACTGAGGAAGGAGCACAAGCCTCCTGCCACAGTTCTCTGATTCTTAGAGCTTGCCCAGCCTGTGCACCAGGGTTAATTCTGGGGCCACCCCAGGAGAGTGGGGTGAGGAGGCCATCAGGCTGAGGGTCACCTCCACATGTGGTGCTGGCAGCTGGGCCTGGGCAGAGAGCTGGGCCGTGTGGGCCGCGTGAGGCTCTGAGGCAGTTTCCAGAGGGCTGTGGCGGTGCCTGGGCAGCCCAATGTGGTGCTCTGAGCTGGGGGACCTGGGGGTTTCTCCTGCTAGTGACCAGGAGCTGAGTGAGCTGTGTTGCTCCTTTTTGGTCGCCTAGCCCTCGGACCGGGGAAATGGGAGTGAGTGAGGAAGAGCTTCTGCTCTGTTGAAAATGAGACATTGAGGCGAAGGCCCACGTGGCCTCCTGCACACTACATGAATTGGAGCTGCAGCCCAGGCAGCAGATTGGGGGACCCTGGCCGTCTACACCAGCTCTCCTCCTGTCACAGAGTTCTTGCCTTGCTCGCTCTCTGAATCTGTTTTCGGGCCCCAGCTGTGTGCTTGTGATTGGACTGTGGTGGTTGCCTTCACCCACAGTCTCATTTTATCCTCCTGCTAACCCTTTGAGGTAGGTAGAATTAACCCCCTTTCATAGATGAGAAAACTGAATGGTATATCCAAGGTCACACATGTGGTATTGACAGAGCCAGGATTCTAAATCAGTGTCTGAGTCCAAATTCATTGCCCTCTCCATTGCCCTGCAGGCCCCGTCTCCTGTCTTATTGCTATTCTTTTTTGGCGAATTTCTTTGTCTTCTCATACTTGTGTCTTGTTCCACCACTCTTAATCTTAATAGCGTTCTCATCTTTTTCCCCTCCCTCCCTTCCTCTCCCCCTCCCTTTCTCTTCTCTTATTTTCCTTCCTTTGTTAAAGCATAACTCCTTCTTTGTGTCTCTGCCTGCCTGCCTGCCACCTCCTTGTCTCTCTTTCCCTCGTCATCCTGTCTCCCTCAAAGGGAACTGCTGCCATGGGCATGTGGCAGGGAGAGCTGCCGTCTACCACCTTCCTCAGACATGGGACCTGGGTCCTGGGAGATCTAGAGTTTCCTCCAGAGATGGAGGTGGGGCCTAGAAAACTAGAGAAGGGGGTGTTGAGAGGAGGGGACATCTGGTATTTCCTGTCAGCATGCAGGGTGTTCCTTGTTCTCCAGAACCCTGAAACAACCTTTCCCAGGTTCCGTCAGCCTGTGTGGAGGGAGGGCAGAGCTGAGTGAGATAAATGTGGGGGCTGCACCAGAGTGAGGTCACCCCATCCCTGATGTTAAGAGTGCCTCAGTCTGGGCTGGGGCTGAGGAGGCAAGCCCTTCTTCCCTTCCCAGCTCCCATCATTGTGAGAACAGCTGAGGGCCAAGGGGGAGGACTGCAGGGTCTAAGGAAAAGGCAGGTGAGGGACGGTCCCTGATATAGTTCCCGGAGAATGGGCTCTGGGCTAGAAGCAGGGGTGAGCCCAGTCTTTGATTTAGAATCTCTCTTCATGGGACACTCAGTCTCTGTCTCTCTCTCTCTCTCTGTGGTGAGTTGGCAGAGGAGTTATTCAGACATCAGTGGCTGCTGAGGTATTTCAGTCTTGAGGGTAAAAACCACAAACAGGATCTTGGTATCTTTCGCACAGTGTTTCCCCAGGTCACCCCCACCCCCCACTCCTCTTTTTTCTCTCTCACTCTCATCCTTTCTTTCTTTCTCTCTCTCTCACACCCCTACACCCCCACACAAGTGGGCTGCAGGCCTGTAGGAGCAGCAGAGCCCACCTCGCCCAGGTCAATGCAGGAAGGGTAGGTTCTAGGGGTGGGTGAGTGAAGTCTTCATGGAGATCTCTAGGACTCTAGGACAGGGGTTAGCTCTAGTGAGGAAAGCTGGAAATGGCACAGTGATAAGTCTGCAGAGGTGATTTTATTTGTTGCGGCCACTATGTGGACACTTCCAAGGATTTGCACCTGGGTGTGAAGACAGCAGGATAGGGCTGAGGAGAGCACGTTTCTTTGTCCTTGCCCCATGGGGTCCCAGTTATAGGAAACCCTGATTTAGCTGCTCTGGAGTTGAGAACCACTGGTGTAGACTTGTGCTTCCCAAAGACGGGGCAGAGGCGAGGGAAACGCTGGGAGGACCAGCCTCCCTTGGAGGCAGAGATGCTTCAGCAATCCTGTGGATCTGAGGACCTTCAGGAGCTCCCCAGTCTCCAAGGTGGGGTCAGGGCCTGAGTGTTGGAACCAAACAGGTTCGAATTCTAGGTCTTTCACTTACTGGTTTGTAGTCCTGGGCAAGTGACTTACCATCTGGGGGCCTTGGTCTCCTCTTCTGTAAAATGGGAGTAATGATGATACTGACCTCGTGGGGCTGTTGCTCTGTTGTAAATGAATCCATATAATACAGCACTTCGTGCATGCCTGGCCCGTGTCAGTAAGTGTTAGTAACAGGAATTGCTGTTATAGCTTTATCCTTCCTCCAGGGCATTCAGAAGAGCAATTCAAGGGAATGGGGAAGGGCATCCCCAGCAGAACCAACACCTGGAAAGGCCCGGGGGCAGCCCAGAGAGGAGTAGCCCCCCCAGCTCCCAAGGCTGGCAGGGTTATTGTTTTCCAGTAACTTTGCCCCTCACAGAAGTGGAGCTGATGACTTCTGCCTTTAATTGGCCCGGGCTGTTTACAGTTCCAGTGCCTGTGACTGGGCCACTTTCTTTGTATTTAACCCCTTCCCCCACGTGCACCTCCCTGCACCCCTGCCCTGCCACCCCCATACATACAAAGAACGAATGAGCTGACCCGGCTGTTCTTGGGGTGTGCTGTGTGTAAAAATATATGGGGTTGAGCCATTTCCTGCTGCTTCCGTTGTTGCATGGTGATAAGACACCATGGACTCGGCTGTGGGCAGAGAGAGCTTCCCCGTGGGCCAAGGGACGCCAGGCCCCTGAGGTAGAGGCCCCCAGCCTGCCCTCTCTCACCCGACCTTGCGTTTTCCGTTACCTATCTTCTGTGACCTTTCCTTCCTCTCCCCCTTTCCCTCTCTCTGTCCCTCCTCTGCCTTTGGCTCTTGGAATTTTGCGTTGCTCATGTTGCCCTGATGTGCTCGGGAAGCTTTCGGGCTGGTGTGGAAAAGGAGCCTGTCATTCCCTTCCTGTGTGTTTACCCCCTGAGCTGGGCATCTGGCCCCCTCAGACCCCCAAAGCTGGTCCCCGATTCCCTCAGCCTGTGAGTTACCTCTCAGACTTCAAGCCCTGGCAACCTGGCTAGCAGGGCAGGTAGGTGTGTGCACCTTGCCCAGGTCTGGAGGACCAGGCAGGGCTGAGTGCTCCCACCACCATGAAGCGGAAGAGGTTGCTGACAACCGCAGAGAACTGGAAGGTAATGGGGGGCCAGGAGAGGTGTCAGCAGAGGCAGGAGAGCTGCTGGGTGCATTAGTGAGGACGGAGTGGGGAGAGCAGGGAGGCATCCTGTGCCTGCATGGGACCAAAATGTAGGCTGTGGTCAGCTCTGAGGGAAAGGCCTGCTCAAGACATGAGTCTTAAGGGGCCTGTGAGGCCAGAGGGACAGTTTTGTCTCCGCTGAGAGTCAACCCTGGGACTCTCCTGTGAAGCCTTGGACCTGCTTAGCCTGCATGATGGAGCAACAGGAGTTCTGGGCTGAAGGTCTGTCTTTTTGTAGCTGTGTATCCGCGAGCAACTTGCTTGACATATCTGGGCCAATTTCCTGATCTGTAAGACAAAGAGGAACAGATCTGCCCAGACTGCATTTTTGGCATGTTGTGGGATTAGGTAGGTAGCAGAGGTGAGAGCCCTTTATAAATGGCAGTATTCCCTGTGAGGGAATACTGTTGTTATTCTCCTGGACTCTTTCCCTGAAGATTGCTCTTCATCCTGCATCCGTTTTACAGGTAGAGAAACCACATCTGGAGAAACCTGGGCCAGAGGTGTCCAGGAGTACATGAGAGAATTCTGCCCATCTCCCTGCCCATGTTTTTCTGATTTATCCATGTTTCCGCTGCTTGCCTTCCTCCCCAGGTCGACAAGGGGGACCCCGTGGCCCTGAGCCTCCCTGGCGGCCCCGGCCATGGTGACACCGATGGCCCCATCAGCCTGGACGTGCCAGACGGGGCACCAGACCCCCAGCGGACCAAGGCTGCCATCGACCACCTGCACCAGAAGATCCTGAAGATCACGGAGCAGATCAAGATCGAGCAGGAGGCGCGGGACGACAACGTGGCTGAGTACCTGAAACTGGCCAACAACGCGGACAGACAGCAGGTGTCGCGCATCAAGCAGGTGTTCGAGAAGAAGAACCAGAAGTCGGCCCAGACCATCGCCCAGCTGCACAAGAAGCTGGAGCACTACCGCCGGCGCCTGAAGGAGATCGAACAGAACGGGCCCTCGCGGCAGCCCAAGGACGTGCTGCGGGACATGCAGCAGGGCCTGAAGGACGTGGGCGCCAACATGCGTGCCGGCATCAGCGGCTTCGGGGGTGGCGTGGTGGAGGGTGTCAAGGGCAGCCTCTCAGGCCTCTCGCAGGCCACCCACACTGCCGTAGTGTCCAAGCCCCGGGAGTTCGCCAGCCTCATCCGTAACAAATTCGGCAGTGCCGACAACATCGCCCACCTGAAGGACCCTCTGGAGGACGGGCCCCCCGAGGAGGCAGCCCGGGCCCTGAGTGGCAGTGCCACGCTGGTGTCCAGCCCCAAGTACGGCAGCGATGACGAGTGCTCCAGCGCCAGTGCCAGCTCGGCTGGGGCGGGCAGCAACTCCGGGGCGGGGCCCGCTGGTGCGCTGGGGAGCCCCAAGTCGAACACGCTGTACGGTGCCCCTGGGAACCTGGACACGCTGCTGGAGGAGCTGCGGGAGATCAAGGAGGGGCAGTCGCACCTGGAAGACTCCATGGAGGACCTGAAGGCCCAGCTGCAGAGGGACTACACCTACATGACCCAGTGCCTGCAGGAGGAGCGTTATAGGTAGGTGCCTGCTCGGGGACCCAGGAACCCAAAGACCCCTGTGCATAGGAGATGGCCACCAGCTGCAGACTTGGGGATCTAGACACCAATGAAGGAGGCTTGAGACAAGCCCTGGGCTGCTGGGAAGGGCCAGGAGGAGGCCCTGAAAAGCCTTTCTCCAGACTTGTCAGGGCAGCTAGAAGACAGGAGACATGGATCCTGGGACCTGTGGAAGAAAGGCCCTGCCTATCTCAGGATGCTTTGAGCATCCTACCTAGAGCATTATGTGGTCGATGGATAGAACGGGACTAGCTGAGGCAGGGACCAGCTCCGAAGCCTCTCATCCGGAGATACTGGTGAAGAGCATCAGCTCCCGAACCAGATTTCAACCCCTTGTTGTCAGGTCGATTCCGACTCATAGTGACCCTGTAGGACAGAGTAGAACTGCCTGGGTTCAAATCTCAGCCCTGCTACTTACCATTTACCTTGAGGAAAGTACTTAACCTCTCTGGACCTGGTTTTCGTATCTGTGAAATGGGGAAATATGGATACCTACCCCACAGGGTTGTTGTGAAGATGGAGCAAATCCAAACACATAAAGTCAGAGTGTATAGATATATACATGGTGAGCTCAAACTTGCAGTTGAAACGCCTGAGGTCAGCCTGGACAAGCCAGAGTCTCTGGTCCCTCTTCTCCTCTGCTGGCCTCTCCTCTTTCGCCCTGTACCTCTCACATGGCGCTTGACGCTTGCTCCCTGGAACTCTTGGGGGTCTTTTCAGTTGTCAGGGCTTTTTCTGTTTTATCTCTACACATACGAAGAAAGTTTGGAAAGTTGAGGGGAGGGCTCACCAAAATCCACCACACTACATGAGAGTCATCTTGTGATCTCTCATACCTTTAGAGAAGGGACCGTGTCCTCTACACCTGGGTGTCCCTGTTACCCAGGAAAGCATCCTAGCCCAGGGTGTAAGAGCCCGGGTTGAAGTCATTCAATCCCAACTCCCCCATTCACAAGCCTTGCGATCCTAGGCAAGTTCTTAACCTCTCTGAGCTTCAGTCTTCCCATCTGTAAAATGGGATGACCCTAGTGCCTACTATGTGGTGAGGATCGCAGGAGATACGTGGGTTAAGTGCTTAGCACAGTGCCTGCATGTAGTAAGTGCTGGGTCAATAGTAGCTATTATTGTTGTGGCTGCTAAAATTAGAACAAGGTCGAACAGTGGGGTGGGTTGAGTCATTGTTTGTTGATAGAATGGATGAAATCAATCCTGGGGATGAAGGGAGGTACGGGGAGCCAGGCCTGGTGTCACATCTTCTCCCTCTGCCAGGTACGAGCGGCTGGAGGAGCAGCTCAATGACCTGACTGAGCTGCACCAGAACGAGATGACCAACCTGAAGCAGGAGCTGGCCAGCATGGAGGAGAAGGTGGCCTACCAGTCCTACGAAAGGGCTCGGGACATCCAGGTGCGGCCAGGGACTGTCCCTGGGGAGGCCCCTGGTGGCAGCCAGGGGGCACGGGTGGTTACCAAGTGGGGGCTGGGCACCTAGGCTCTTCCACTGGTTACGGCAGATAGGCACGTGGATACAGAGGGTGGGTAGAGATGAGAGGCAGGGCAAGAGAGCAGAGTACAAAGGAAAGCTGACTGCTGAGGCCACCTACACCCCTACCTCTTCCACAGCAGCCTTGGAAATGAATATTTGGAAATTCCCAACTCAATGACAACTGGTTTAGGAGATGCTGGGTGGCGCAAATGGTTAAGCACTGGGCTACTAACCAAAGGTTAGCAGTTCAAGCTCACCCAGAGGTGCCTTGGAAGACAGGCCCAGCAATCTGCTTCTGAAAGATCACAGCCATGAATACCCTATGGAGCACAGTTCTACTCTGCACACATGGGGTCGCCATGAGTCGGAATCAACTTGATGGCATCTGGTTGGTTAGCCTGCTTCAAGAGGCAGCTGGGATTGGGCCGTCCTCCCCAAACAGTCATAAAGGACCCAGCCCCCCAACTGTAGCCTACACCCCTTTGGAGAGGACCCCCTGCGTTGTCACCTTGTTGGTGGGGCAGGCAGGTAGGGCTCAGCCCGCGGGTCGGCCCCGCCTGCCCCGAGCTCCCGCGTGCTGACCCCTCTGCCCCGCTGCAGGAGGCCGTGGAGTCCTGCCTGACCCGGGTCACCAAGCTGGAGCTGCAGCAGCAACAGCAGCAAGTGGTGCAGCTGGAGGGTGTGGAGAATGCCAACGCCAGGGCGCTGCTGGGCAAGTTCATCAACGTGATCCTGGCCCTCATGGCCGTGCTGCTGGTGTTCGTGTCCACCATTGCCAACTTCATCACACCCCTCATGAAGACACGCCTGCGCATCACCAGCACCGCCCTCCTGGTCCTCGTCCTCTTCCTCCTTTGGAAGCACTGGGACTCCATCACCTACCTCCTGGAGCACGTGCTGCTGCCCAGCTGAGGGGCCAGCCCGCCCCTGCCCCGTGTTCTCCCGGCCCCGCTGGCCATGCTTCTCCAGGAGGGACCTGGACAGCCGAGTCCCTTGGACTTCTTTGTGTGTCCAAACTGTCCATTCCAGCAGCTCCCGCCCCTTCTCTGCCCTGCTTCTGTCTGACACCTCCGCGTGGGCCTGAGGGGAGCCTAGGGTGCAGCCCTGGTGGAGACGGAGGTGACACGTGTGTCCGGGAGCAGAGGAGGACACGGTGGGGGGGGTTGTTTTGATTATTTACAGTCACACCAGGACTTCTTCCAGTTGACCTCGGGGTGCCTTGGTCAGGAAGGCCACAGAGAGGAGCGGAAGGAGGGCTCTGCCTCCCCTTCCCTGGGGAGGAGCCCACCTTGGAGGCAGCTACTATTCCCTCCCCTCGGAGAAGGCCAGGATGAAGGCAAGAGAGCGAGGGAGGAGGCGCGATTGGCCCAGAGAGAGCAGGGAGGCCAGAAAGGAGGCTCAGAGCAGCACCTGGGAGGCCCAGCTGCCCTTTCCCTTGCCAGCCAGTCAGAGGCCGGGTTCTGGAGTTGGACCTGCTCCAGCGATGTGAAGGATGCAGGCTCTGGAGGCCGCGGGGGTGTGGCTTTGCACTTGTGTTTCCCCTGCTTTTCTTTGCCTGTCACTGGATCTGCCATTTCAGGGAAACAGGCCCCAGGGGCCCCGAGCCTCAGCCTATGCCCTTTGGCCCCTGGGAGTACATTGGGTTCTATTTATTTATTTGTTCCTTTGTACCATCCCCCTCCCTGCAGCCAGGGCTTATTCTGGGCTCACCAGGGCGGTCCTTACCGTGTGGCCTCTGGATAATGCCAGCTGGGAGAGGTGGGCAAAGCTGCCCCGCCCACCCTCCGGAAGCGGCACCTCAGCCAGGATGGGAGGAGCGCGCCTCTTTTCTACATCTATTTATTTTGTACATGTGTGTTTGTGTGGAGAAGGCTGTTTGTCATTTCATTTTTTTAAGGCTCTGGAGTGTTGTGTATGGTTTCTCTTCACATCCCAGCCTTCCTGTGGCCACTTCCAAGAAGAGAGGGGATTTCTTGGACAAGGAGAGTGGAAGCTGACAGAGCAGGGGAGGGCAGTGCCTGCCAGCTGTTGCGGACCTTCCCGAGAAATAAATATCCTCTCAATTTTCAAGCCATCCTGTCTCGTGTTGATTGGTTACATTGTTTCCATGGAAACCACCATGTCTCTCCCCACACCCAAGGGTCCTGGATAACACGCTGGGCCTCACCTACTGGCCTGAGGCCTCCTCCCTGCAGGATCAGACAGTGAGCAAGTCATCGTCTCTTCTACCTTTCCCACCTTTCTTTGTGCAGCCAAAACTCTGGCCTAAGTGGTAGGGAAATGGGGTGACACTCACCCCATCCAGCCCTCCTGGAGCGCCCTCCAAGGGGAGGGAATATGGGAGAGAGATTTCCATAGTTTGGGGAAGATAAGCACCGGGAGGCCTAGATGACAGCAGTCATGCCCAGGTATGGCCTCAAGAGGGCAGCAGAATCCCTGCTTTTAAACCCTCTCTCTCGGGCTCAGCCCTAAAGAAGGGCCTTAACTGGAGTTAGTTTGGCCTCATCAAGGCAGGCCAGCCAGAACTCAGATCCCTGCTCACCAGGAGCTGGAGCATGGCCTTGAGCACAGAGGTCCACAAGCCAGACTCTCAGGGTCTGCTCTCTGTGGCTATAGCGCCCATCCCTGGCAGTTCCCTATGGGCACCCATAGAAAGCCCCAGCTTCCCAGCAGGAACCCTGTGGGAGCTTGGGAGAGGCCAGCTGAGTCTCTGTACTGGGAGGAGAGGGAGATGCTGGCCTCCAGCATCATGGGAGCAAGAGGGGTTGTGGGAAAAGCACCTACCCCAGAGTCTGGAGACCTGGGTCCTAGCCCACAATAGTGCACCTGTGACCAACTCACATCCCCTTTCTGGGCCTCAGTTTCCACATCTGTAGTATGGGACAGATACTGGAGCTCCTAATTTCAAAGGGCTCTGACGTTCTGAGGTTCTGTGGACCCAAGAAATCAAAAGTTACAACTGTATCCATGGCCTCTGGCTTGAGGGGATTCCAGGAGACAGGGGCCCCAAGGGGAGAGAGGGCACTGTGGGGAGCGAGGCATGGGCAGTTTTGTCTTCACCTTCTTACGGTGGATGCAGGAGTTTCATCAGGTCACCCCCACGGCGCCCTCCCACAGGGCCGTGCCTGTGCTGGCACCCCAGCTCTGCTGGACGCCCAGCACACTCAGCGCCCCTGGGGGGCCAGGCAGCAGGAGCCACATTCCTGGGCACCAGGCGGGGGGTGGCTGCTCTGGGCTGCAGACATTCCTCCCCAAGGTCAGGTGCCTTCTCCACATGGGCTCTTAAATGTCACTGCCAGCCAGAGTCCACAGTGAAAGGGAGGAGGGATAAGGGAGGGTGGAGGTCATTCTCCTCAGCTGATCCTGAGGGAGGAGGCTCATCTTCTGCAAAGGTGCAGAAGCAATGCGGCTGTGTTTGTCTCATCACTGTGACGACAGTGCCCTCTCGTCTCCGGAGCCGCGTGCTCTGTCTGGGAACTGGGTTTTGTTCCTCTGCTAGCCACTAACACTTCCTTGTTTGTCTCTGCTCCCTCTGTAAAAAGGGATGAATTCTCCCCCCAGGTTCATAGGTGACAAGTCAGCCAGGGTTGCCTACTCTGCCTTGAGCCATCCTCCCTCAGACAGTAGGACCAATGAGCAGGTGCCTCCGGAGCACCTGCCCTGCAGACCCCAGCCCCACACCTTGGGGGCCAGAGGCTCAGCCAGGCAGGCCCACTCCCCAGCCTTTGCCCGCCCAGAGTGGGGCAGCTGAGACTCTCTCTGCCGGAGTGGGCGGAGTTGGCGCTTCACTGCTCCAGCAGCACTTGGCAGGCAGGGCTGGCCTGGAGCGGGCAGGTCTCCTGTGCTCGTGCAGAGCTGGCACTCCCTGCTGGCCTTGTGGAAACGGTGGTGCTGTGGCAGGTGCAGCCTTAAGAGGCGATTTAACCCCCTCCACCCCAGGTGGTTCAGGGGTAGAATTCTCGCCTTCCACAGTGGGAGGCCTGTGTTTGATTCCTGGCCAATGCACCTCATGCACAGCCACTACCAACCAGTCTGTCAGTGGAGACTTGCGTGTTGCTGTGATGCTGAATAGGTATCAGCGGAGCTTCCAGACTAAGATGGACCAGGAAGAAAGGTGTGGTGATCTGCTTCTGAAAATCAGCCAGTGAAAACCCCGTGGATCACAACGGTCTAAGCCTCAACTGATCATGGGGATGATGCAAGGCCAGGCAGCATTTTGTTCTACTGTGCATGGGATCCCCACGAGTCAGGAGCTGACTTGTCAGCAGCTAACATCGACAACAACCCTAGGTTACTCCAGGGTGATTCTGAGGTGGGGAGGGAAGAAGGGTTTTCCTGGCAGCCTCAGTTTCCCCTTCAGTGTCAGCCCCTTCAGTGAAGTCAAATCCTAATATTAAAAGTACACGCTTTGGAGACGTGGGCTTGGATCCCAGCACAGCCGCTCACCTTAGACCAGGTGCCAGGGTTCTCAGACAGGACTACTCACCAGCCAATAGGAATAGAAATGGCGTCTGCGCCCACAGGAGACCTGAAAGACTGCTTGTCAGGACCTTAGCACGGTGCCTAGTATATAATGAGGGATTAACCCAAGACAGTTATTACACCTCAGACCTGAGCCCCCAGGGATGTTCAGGTGCAGACAAAACTGCTCAGAGAAGTCCGAGGCAGACCCCATGGGAACCAGCAAGGCTGAGGCCACTTGAGTAAGTCTGGCCTCCAGCCCCGGATGTGCTGAAGGAGAAGCTGTTAGCCCAGTAGAGGCCCTCGCAACTCCTCTTCCCAAGAGCTGAGAGTCTGCTTTATTCCCAGAAGCCTCTTCCCTAAGTCTTGTAAGTGAAGCTGGTCTAGTGGCACTCTGTCAAGCCCCAGCTTGAGAGAGCACTGGATAGAGGCCTTGCCAGTGTGTCAGGGTGTGGGCCGTCCTCTAGAACATGGTCCTGTGCATTGGGTCTAGGAAAGAACTGGAATTAGCATCAAGGGTTCCGGTTTGAGTTGACACTCAGCCGCCTGTGGGCTGTAAGGTCATAGGCCTCAGTTTCCCTATCTGAAACATGGGGGTAAAGATACCTGTGCTACCCAACCAGCAGGGCCATCATGAGGCTCACAGATGTCAGGCGTAGGTGTCTGCCCCCACATCACCCCAAGGTTTCCCCGATGGGAACCACCTGTCATTATGCTGCTCCCCATCTTGGGTCCCCAGGGAGGGTTCTGACCTGTCTGGGGCAGGACTTGGGAAAGTGGCCAGCAGTGACCCCTCAGGCAAAAGGCTTGCCGCCAACCTCCGAATGGAGATGGGAGGAAGAAGCTCAGGCCACACCAGGCCTGCTGGGACGGCGTGTGGAGAGGGGAGGCTGGGACTTGCCGCAGCACATCCTGACCTGATGGCAGGGCCTGAGTCAGCCAGCCAGGGAGTAGGCCAGGGTGGGGGCAGCAGTACCTCCTCCCACACAGGGCCTCCCAGGAGAGCTCGCCCTCCTTGGACAGCCCGTCCCTGCCCTGGTCACACCCCAAGGCTGACTGTCCAAATGAGGTCTCCTAGGCCCAGCAGTGTGGGACAGGCCACCTCAGCCATGCCCCAGCCTTCAGGCAGCCACTTACCCAAGTCGCCTCTGCTTCCAAAAGCACCCAGAGAAGGAGATCTTACAAGCTCGTAGACACCTGGCTCTCCTGCCTGGCCAACCTCCCAGCCAAAAGGCTCCTTTTCTGCGTTGCTTTGGTTCCTGTTGCTGCCATTTTGGTTCACTGGGATGGAGTCGCCATAATTTGGACTCCTCAGCTATGGGTTTTTGGTGGGTTTTTTTTTTTCACTTGGGGATAAGCCTAAAGTAAAAGCTTGAGAAAGCTATGGGTCTTTCTGGTGTGGAGGCTCTGTTCTCTGGTTTCCTTCCAGAAGGCTGAGTCCTCTCAGAAACACCTTCCTGGGTCCCCAGCTCTAGTAAGAAACCACCGACTTTTCGCTGGAGCTGTCTCTGGGCTGTGACTGGAGTTGACCTCCTTGTTCCTTTTCTAGTTGAAGTCAGTCCCAAATGCTCAGAGTCAGGGTAGGGTGGGGTGGGGAGGATGCCCCATAATTGGGGCATTAAATGAACTCACACAACTGGCAAGTCACCACACAGACCTGCTATGTCTCTGCTTCGTCCCCTCCTCGCCTTCTCAGCCAGGTGGGCCAGGCCCGGCCAAGGATGGGAAGACCTGAGAGGCAGATGGTCTGCTGAGGAAGGAGGAGGAGGTCAAGGAAGGGAGCCTGGTCCCATTCCTTCTCTCCATGGCTTCCACTGCGGGCCTTAGAGATCCTCTCGTTGTTTGGCAGCCTGGAGTCCAGGTGTGGGACCCCCAAACCGCTCAGCTTTAGGTTCAATTAAATTCAAGAAACACAGTTTTGAGCACCTACTCTGTGCCAGGCGCTGGGATAGGTGCTGGAGACATAGAGAAGAGCACGCCATGGTCTCTGTCCTCACCAAGCTCATGGATGGTTAGGGACACACACACACACACACACACACACACACACACACGCCTCTGATGCAGAGGCCAAAACCAAAATCAAACCAGTTGATGTGGAGTGACTCCAACTCATGGTGACCCCATGTGTGTCAGAGTAGAGCTATGCTCCATAGAGTTTTCAATGGTTGATTTTTTGGAAGTGGATCACCAGTCCTTTCTTCCAAGGTGCCTCTGGGTGGACTTCAACCTCCAACCTTTCAGTTAGCAAGTCAAATGTGTTAACCATTTGCACCACCCAGGGACTCTGATGTAGAGGCGGGCAGGGATAAATGTTGCACTAGAGGCCGAGGAAGGCGGTCCATGGGGGGAGGGCTTCATTCTGATGGGGAGCTCTGGGCAGGCTTCTTGGGGCTTTGGAGGTTGGGTAAGAGGTCCTATAGCAGAGTGGTTTTGGCCAGGTCCTGGGGTTGGAGGTGGGATAGAGGATCATTCCATGGCGTGAGAGGGTATGCAGTTGTTTCAAAACCAGAACTGCCCAGCCCACACTTCAGAGGGCAGCATATGTGGGGAAGGGGCTTCTGAGTCCATTACAATGAGAAGGAGCAGGAATTAGGACACCTTTCGGAGAGATAAGGAGACCCCCCCACCTAGAACCTCTGAGGCTTGAGGGCTTCTGAGAGGTTGCTTGAAAG